CGGGAGTGGCTTCACACAAGACGGGCCCCGATCCTGGCAGCGTTGCTAGTGTTCAGGATCGCTTCCCTGTGCGAGCGACCTTCCTGGATGCGGTGCTACGCAGCTAGTTTCTGCAACGCAGAGCACCCTCTGGCTCCTGTCAACAAGCAGGCCCCAGGCCAGCCCCTCATCTGGTGTGAAGCAGCGAGTTACGCCGGTTCGAGCCAGTTTACGCCAGCTGAGGGGTTGGCCCTGCAGCCCTGACAACTTTTAGAGCCGAACTTTAGGCACAGCCTTGCCGAGGCGCTGTGCAGCTAAGTCCCCTGCGGTTTGTGACGCACTTGGAGAGGCTCCCATTTAAGAAGCCAATTATAATGAATATTGTTACAATGGACGTGGACGGCAGAAGCTGCGACCGACCACCTGAAATTAATCCTCCCATGTGCAGCTCTGCTGGCCGGGAAAGCAGCAGGAATCACTCTGCCGGGGCCACCCGGCACCCCTTGCACACAAACAGATGTTTGCCTCCGACCTGCGTGTGTGCGGACGCAGCATTATGCCGCCACAATGCTAACCCATGCATTTTTGACTCTGGGTTTCCCAGGCCCAATGCCGGCAGCCGAGCCCCAAAGGAGACAGACAGAGAGACAGACCATAGGGATCTGCCGCCTGACAAGTGAAACGAGATTAGAGGGTGGCCCTGAACTATACACGCATGATGTGGGATAGCCCCAGGCACATGGGATGGGCTCACCTGGGAACAACCCAGATTGCTCACCCATGCGCGCTCCCATGTGCAGAGAGGTGTTTAGCCCCATCGGTCTAAATTCAAGGAATTGGTTCGTCTCTAAGGTGCAACTGTACCCTGCCTTCTGCTCAGCCATGTGTTGTGGCAAGTAAGATCCACTTCATGCAAGTTGAGCCTTAGCTGGTGATGCAGGGGCCTGCAGGCAGGGGACTGGAGATGGGGTTCCCTGCAGAGCTGCGGTGGAGCGGAAGAAAGTGCCCTGTAGCGCGGGATCGGCTTGAGCGCTGGAAGCGTGCCGCACGGCTGATTCGCTTCACTTTGGCTGCAACATTGTGCTAGCGAAACCCATGCAGCCTCACACAGCCATTTACATGCGGGGTGACCGCCGCATGAACTTTAGCCCTGGCATTGCTCGCGGCCTCCTCCCCCACCTCCCGTCCATGAAGCCAATTATCTTTATTTTTAACGCTGAAGAGTTAAAGCTGTGATTATGGGAGCCCTGGCCTGGCACTCCCCAGCACAACCTGCCGGAAGATGGAGGGAAGCCAGCGCAGCTGTCCCTGAGCATCACTCTTCCCAGCCTGGCCTGCAAACCTTCCTCCCCCACCACCTGAGGCGAAACAGCCCATTTCCAGGGACTCAAGGCACTTGCAAGTGGGGCAGAGAGCAAGGGAGAGAGAAAACAGCTCCCCACGTCCAAGCCCGGGACCCGGCCCAAGGTGTTCACACACACGGGCACCTTGCACCTAGATAAGATTAACAGGTGCTTCATCAGTCTGCAGCCGTGGCGTGACGGCAGATCGACACAGGAATGTTAAGCTAGGATAAGGCTCTCTGGGTAAAAGGTGATATCTTTTATTAGACCGACTCGAGCTGAAAAAGCTGTTCTTTGCAAGCTTTCGGGCACAAACGTTCTTGTTCGGGCGTAGGGAGTCTTTCCTTGTGCCTGAAGAAGGGCATTTGTGCCCAAAAGCGTGCAAAGAACCATTTTCCAACTATCTAGTTGGTCTAATAAAAGATACCACATCTACCCAACGAGCCTTGTCTGCCTATGTCCTTAGACCAACACCTTAAAGCGGGGATAAGTGAAGGTGTCAGCGCGATAACCAGCACGTGGACACTCTTGTCCCGGGATAGGGGTGCCTTTTCCTGCTTTAAAGTCTTCTTGGAAGGGGCCCAAGCTGTTTTTAGGGTTTGTCTACCATGCAGTCGCTGCTGGGACCACAGCTCGGGCAGACAGGCAGGAGGTGGCTTTAAATCAGCTAGCCAGGCGGCTGGGAGGTGCCCGAGAAGCACTCAGCTCGCACTGCCCCGGCCACGCTGCCAGCCTGCCCGAGCTGGCTGGTTGGCAACGACGGGAACCTCTCCTGCGTAGCAGAGCCCAAACACCCTGCAGCGGTCCCGTCCCCCCCACCAGCACGGTGCGGCGGTGAGGAGAGGCACCAGGTGCAGGGGGAAGCCTGTTTAATGTTTAACGTCCCTGAGCGCTGGTATTTGTTTGACAAGGCAGATATGTGCTGACGCTGTGGGGAGCCTGACTTGGAGCTGCTTGCAGAAGGGTGAAGCCCTTTTGCTGCTGCTGCTCGAAGCCTGGTTAACGTTTAACTGGAGGCAGCATTCCCGCTGCCTTCACCCTTTCTTGCAGGGGGATTTATTCGGTCTGGGAAGAGCCCAAGGGCTGGCCTCCCTTCACTGCCGGGAGGAGGGATCATGCACTGAAACAGGCCTTCGCCTCCAGAGAGCGGGGCCGGCCTTGGCACAGCTGAGAGCAGCAGCCAAGGTCTTGCCGGGACTTGCTCCCAGCCCCACGTATTAGGAGGCTCCTGGTAGACTTGAGTTATTCCCACAGGAAGCGCAAACAGAATTAAGGATGCTATTATGCTAATTGCGCTCGCAAATGCTCGCTAATGACCTCGCTGTGCTGAAGTCTGAAGTGCCTGCCTGGCTCTCGGGGGAGCGCTCTGGGATTGGGCTTACGAGGGCAGGGTCGTTGGGCATAACGCAGCGCCTTCCCATTTTTTGTGCCGGCTGGGATGAGCTCTCTGGGCCAGCTTCCTGGCTCTGAAGTGCGTGCTTCCTTCTCAGCCAGCTCCGGCTGCCAAACTGCTTTTCACTCCCCCACAAACCAGTTTGAGGCAGGGAACTGGGACACCTGCCTTTGCTCCCTCAAACTGGCTCAGTGCCTGGGTGGGGAGCGAAGGCTCTCCCATTCCCAAAGCCGCACCTCGCTCCCCAAACAAGGGTGGAGGGACGGATGCTTCCCACTCACCTCACAGCACCGACCGCTGCTAGGGGAAGCAGAGCTGGTGCTCATGAAATCCCTGCATGGGGAAGACGGGATCTGCTGGTTGGTGGGGAAGGCAGAAGGGGACGCAGTCTAGCCTGCTCGTTCCCCAGGACCCTGAGGCTAATTCTAACTCCCCTGCAGGGTTTGTTCCCGGGGGACCAGGTTGCCGGCGTGGGGAGACATGCCTTTGTGCTCCCAACCTCATGACGGAAATCCAAGAGATGCATCCAAAACCACGTGTGGCTGAGAGCTGCACTTTGTGGTGTCTGGTGACTTGTTCTATTCCCCTAGGAGCGGGCATGGAGTTACCCCCTGGATAATTAATGTCTGTATGTTTGCATCACCTCTCGGGTGACTTTCCCAGATGAGGAACAGCTCATGCCCCAGCCTGCATTAACTAAGACCCTGAACCAACCTCTTTCCTGCAGGTGGTTGGTTGCCATTTAATGACTGTGCTCACCAACATGGATCCAGCTGGCACTTGCTGAAATCGAGTCTATGCAATGACCCATAAATCAGACCTCTCCCAGACAGTTTTCCTCATCAGATCAATAAAGCACATTGCCACTTCCCAATCAGGGACCATGGCATTCACCCAAACCGTGCCCACTGATCTTAGGTCTGTTAGGAGCAGGCAAGGTCTCCTCCGCGCCACCACCCCTTGGTAGGCCACTGCCAACACAGGAGTCAAAGAGACAAGGCGTTCACCTACATTACGTGAGAGCCGGTTCCATAAAAATAGCTGTAATAGTAGAGATGGAAGAGACTGGGTCAGTGAATTCACCCACTGATACGCAGCCCTACCATTTACCTATGCTTAAAATTTCATCTCCATTTTTATCATTTATTTTTATAATAATACATTCTGCTTCTAGAGCATGTTTCGCACCGGGGTCCCCAGCTGCTTCCAAACCATTAGTTCATGAAGATGGGTGGTGTCACCGTAAGGGAGGCAAGTGATGTTTTTATCACATCACAGACGGGGGGAAAAAGAAACACGGAGAACTGTGCTCAGGGTCGGCCAGGCTGGGAACAGTCCCTAACGCCTGCTCTAGGCGTTACAGCATAGTCTCCTTCCCCCTCACTCATCCCAAGCAGTAGCATGCTTCAGGAAAGGTCTCGTGAGTCCCGGCAGGGCAGGACCTCCTCTGCCTGACGGAGAGGGCAGAACCAGACCTCTTATTTTCAAAACCAAGAGCAGACAGTGGCTATGTGGAAGCTGACCAGCCCCAAGCGAACCAGCCTCATCTCCCGCCTCCAGCAGGGCCAATAACAGATGCTTCCTAAGACAGGTCTCAGCGACCATGCGTTTCTGATCCTGGCGCACAGGGGTACAAAGAAGAGCCTCTCTTCCCTGGGCACGGCTGCAATTGCCCCACCCTGAACCTCAGGCCCGGCCTCCCTGCTACGAGACGAGCAGACCATGCAACCTCCGGGGCTCTGTGAAGTGACCCGTTGCCTTTGTCAAGCCATGTCACCACCCCCACCGCCCCAGCATCCTCTCTCACCTGTTCTTGTCCACGGTATCCTGCTCGTCCATCTCGTCCGCGCTGCAGGTGGCACTTGAGTCGCTGTCCGGATTGATCCCGGAGGCTTTGCCCGTTTTGTGGCTCTCCTTCTTCTCAGCCTTGGGGGTCCCCTCTGCTCCCGCCATGCCCCCGTTGCTGCTGCTACTCTCCTGTTTCTTGTCGTCCCCCTTGTCTTTCTCCTGACAGTCCTCGCTCTCCTCCTTTTTGATCTCGCTCTTGCAGGGCTCCTCACTTGGCTTCTCCTCCGGCTCCTCTGTTTTCACCACGTCCACCACCAGTTCCTCCTGTGGCTTCTCCTCATTGCTGGCCTGCTCAGTGACTGCTTCCGGAGGCTGAGGGGTGCTGGCAGCAGCAGGAGTGGTGTCTGCAGCGGCAGTGGCAGGAGCCTCCTCCATCTTGATGGCCGGTTCCGCGCTGGAGTCGCTCCCGGGCCCGGGTGCCGGCTTTGGCCCGTTCTCACCACTCTCCTTCGCTTCGGGCCTGGGCGAGGGAATGCTCTCGGTATCCGAGCTGTTGTTTACTGCAGCTGAAAGGAAACCAAAGTGAGACTCAACATCTACAGCCCTTGCTTTACAGTAGACGACGGCGGAAAAATGCAGAAATCTACCTCCCCGAGATGGCAAACGTATCCAGCTGCCTTGACAAGGCCAAACTCTCTTCCCAGTTACACAGGAGTCATCTTAGCAGCTCTGGGAGGCATGCTGCAGGACATGGACAGCAGGAATTGAGCCCAAAGGAGGGGGAACTTGCTCAGAGCACATCACGGGTCATTTCCCCCGTCCCACTGCCCCAGCCAGGCTTTCTGCCGCAGGCTTGGCATGGGAACTCTGGTGCCCAGAAAGACAGGACCATATGGTGAAGGAAACAAGGCAAAACTGCTGAATCTCCCAGCTCCCAAAGGCTGCAGTGACGTGTTCAACTAAGAACCAGCAACTCCAGGCCATCTCCTCTAAGCACACCCTTCTTAAATTTCAGATGGAACAAACTTCTGCTCTTCAGATGTCCCTGCTATCCTAGCACGGTTGTGTTGTGCATTGGCCTTCCCCCCACTTGAGCCCATATACTTATGAAGAAAATGAAGAACCTCTCAATGGTCCCCTGTTTCCACTTTGTCTGACGCAGACTACCTTCTTCTCCCGGCTGGCAGAAGCAATTGTCCCCTATCTACAATTTCCACCTGCCTGGAGGTTGGAGGATGTCCTGTAGGCCTCAAGCAGTTTTTTGGACTGAGCAGCGCACTAGTGGGGTTTCCTGTGCAGCCCAGGCCTCATCCAGAACAGGGAGCAGTTCTGCTCTCTTCTCTGCTGGGGCACAATTCATACTGTAGGCTGGACGCCACACATCAAACATGGATCCTCAGCTTAAAACCAGGGGACTGAATCACGATTCCAGGAACTCGGACAGTGGGTTTCAAAACAACCAGGTGGGAACAATCTGTTTGCCATGAGATCCAGCAGAATAATTAAAAACCTCTCGCCTGACCTTTCCCGCCCCCCCTGCATTGTTATCCAGCCCCATCCAGCCTTTTTCGGGGAATCTCGGGTGACTTCAACTTTCCAAGAAGACCCCGTGCAAGAGTTCAACCTCCCTGCTCGCAGACCCATGCTGTCATTGAGTTTGCTGACAGCCTGACTTCCCGTTCTCCACTGCACTGCAGCTAGGAAGGGCTCCACGGCAGCAGCCCGGGCCTTGAAAACCGTTCTGTTTTGCTTCCTATGAGCCAGCCAGAAAAGAAATTTCCCACCCCAGATTGTCCACTGAAAACGGCTTCATCCCAAGCTGTATGGCCCTAGGTGCCAACAGGGCAACAGAGTGGGCAAGGAGGTGTTTCGGAAAGGCATGTGTGCAGGGAGCAGTTTATTTCTTTGGGTGTGAAGTGGGAAAACTGAAAGCAAGCTGCAGACCTCAGTAGCGTGGCCTGTGCTCCTCCCTGGGGCTACTGAAACAACACCAGCAAGAGCTGAGGACCCTCACAACTCGCTCACAACACTGCAGAGAGTGAGGCTCAAGTTGCTCCAGGTTAAGGGCCACCCTCTTTCTCTGGGTATATTGGAGCGGAGGTGAACGGTGCCTCTTGACACCCAGGTCTAGTATGCACCACCCTGAGCTTTCAGGTCGTATCAATAATGGACAGACCTGTAGATCTGAAGTATCCAGATCTCACGTATTCCACTTCCTCAGCCAAAGAACGCCCCAAACCCAACAGGAATTTCAAGCTGCCCCAACTTTTATTTACTTGCAATAAATCAATGGAAGGCAGTCACTCGAGGATGACAGGCATGGACTTTGCAGCCGTTAGGCAGGATGGAAATGCACAGTGTATCTGGCCAGAACCTCGCCCCGAGTGCATCCACTTCCATTATTAATGTGAAACAGTCTGCAGCTCTGATGAGATGGATAGCTTGCCTCTGGTTCAACCGAGTCTTCGGTTTGCATGCATTTGCCCCCACCCTGGTGAACCTGCAGAGGACCGGGGCTGAGCGAGTGGAGCTGAACTCCCCGGGAGTTGTGTCCGGGGTGGCGGCGTGAGCGGTGTCATTGTGCAGCCTGCCTCTGGTACGAGAGCCCCGCTCGCTGAAGCGCGAGGTGATCTGCACGTACTTTTCATGCTCGCGCACCAGGGAGTTTGGACGCAGGCAATTAATCACGCAAGGAAACCATCCAAAGCCCTTCCCCTCCCCCTTCACCTGCTGCACCCCAGCCTTGGCTGGTGCTACGCCAACCGCATCCCCAAATGTCACAGGAGACCGCGGCAAACTGCTCAGGCATAACGCCACTCTGACATTTCTGCTCCTGTGACATTTCATCCACCTCTGCTCGTAAGTTTATTCAGCTCAATAGCCTACTTCGGAAACCGAGTTCTCTCCGCCCAGCAGGATGAATAAGAGATGAGAACTGAAGCTCTAATAACACAAAGCTTCTAAGTGTGTCAAGAGAGCTGTCTTTAAATCTTAAAATACATTGTTTCCTCTGAACTGCTCTCACAAAGACCGATAACTACATCTTACATTGTGTCTGTGAGTCACATATCACCTAGCACAGAAGATTTACCTGGAATCTGCCTCGTAATGAGTCACTTCCAACAATGACTTGAAAAGATTTGCAATTTCAAGTCCCATTAGCCCGGACTCCAAGGCCAGGACTCAGCAGGGTGCTCACGCTGCTGGTTAAGTTATTAAATTACTTCGACAAAAAGTCAAACGGGGCTATTGTTGTAAATTATATACATTTCCCCAAACTCGCGACTGCAGCTTCAGAGCGATAAATAGCTAAAATTGCCCCTTACGTTTTGTTTCCCTTCTTTTGTATGAGTGGGGGAGTAAGAGCTGCCTAAGCAAAGATATTCTTTACAAAAATTTAAAAAATAAATAAAAAGCAGAGGTGGGCTGCCCCATGGCTACAGATTTTGTTGCTGCTGTGGAGGATCACCCACCAGTGGACAGACCCCAGGGCGCATGTTGTCTGACTCAGGAGAGTCGTTAAAGCAATGAGACAACGAAGGGGGTGGTTCACTGCTCCATTGGCAACCCCGTGGCTTCAGGCACTGCGGGCCTGATTCAGCAAAACGCTTGGCTTCAGTGTCATTTTTGTGCTGTGCTCAAGCAAGGTGCGGAAATGCCTCGGTGAACCAGGGCCTTGCGGCAGCTGTGCCTTTTAGGGTGCTCCTCAGCTACCTTCCCAGGCAGTGGGCAGGAGTGAGCAACTCCATCTGCAGTCCTACACTGCGACACCTCCCCTCGCTGCCGCCGCACAGTGCCAGCTATCTAACCCTGACGTGTCCCTGGGCTTTGCCAAGATGCCTCGGGAACAGTCTTGCATATAAAATGATGAAACAAAAACTGGTTTACAAGACAGCAAAAGTGTGCCAGGCCTTGGGATAAGCAGTGCGCCCTGGGAGCAGGGAGTCGGTCAGGAGGGCAGGCTCTTTGTTGGGGGGGATAAGCCTTAGAAAGCACGAGGTGATGCACTGGGCTAGACTACAGGGGCCTAAAGGGGGAGGTGGAGGGCTCCCATGGTGTGTGGAAGAGATGGCGAATTGTTCTGCAAGGCTACCGGTACTGGGAATGGTACTGACTATGTGGAGTAGTAATGATGGCACCGAGTATGTCCCCGTGGGCACTGAGATGGCACTGTAAGTGGGCTCTGAAAACACACCTCTCTCTTGGCAAGATGTCTCCAGGACAAGGCAGCAGGGGGAAGCTTGCACTGCCTATGCTCTTCCCCTTCCAGAGATAGAGAAGTGAGGTTCCCACCATCGCCAGCCTGACCCCTATCAAAACAGTCCAGGTCACAACCCCTCTGGAGCCCAAGTGGTGCCCTGGACGCCAGCTGGCCCATACTGGATACCAGTATGGAGCTCTCACCTCCCTACTACCCTTAAATCAACACTGCACCAGACAAAATTCAGAGCCGGACTGTAACCCCTGAGATGGTGAAAGCCTGAGGAGCTCAGGTCTGTGCAGCACCAAGTGCGCTGAAGCGTCACCCTCTCATGGTGCCCGGGACCATGGCCTGCCCAGCACGGTCCCCTGCCCACGAGGAGATGCTTGTGGGGGGGCAAGAAAAAAGGGCCAAATATAGCACTAAACAGCCAAGAGCCCAGGGGCACCCCAGGAATATCCGAGCTGATCCCTGCCACAGGAAGGGTGGCCCTCAATGCCTCACCTTCTGCCTCCTCAGCCATCTCCTCTTCGTTGCCGCTTATCCCCGATACCTCCATCTCCTCGTCCTCCGCGGCAGGAGCGAAGGCCGCCTCTTCATTTTGCACGGTGGGGGCTTTTTTCTTCTTCCTCTTGGCGTTTCGCTCTTTCTCCTGGTGGGAAGAAAGCACACAAGGGTCAAAGGCGAGAAGCGTCTGCTGGCGCTGGGTTTGGCAGACAAAGCCGGTGGCAACCTCACGGTTCAACGCAATGTGTGTTCTGACGACAGAGAGACAAGATGGTTTAGGGAACCACCTTGTACTGCCGAGGAAGCAGACCTGGCCCCCCCAGACCTTTCCTGCCTCCTATTCCCTTCATTGCCTCTGGTTGCTCCTGTTAGGATTAAAAGCACGTCAGGGCAGGAAACGTGCCCTCACCTGCCTGCGAGAAGCAGCAGCCGGAGGTAGCAGCAGCAGCAATGTCAGCTCTCCCCCTGGTCTTGACGTCTAAGGAGGTGGGAATCCCTGAAGCCTGCATTGCTAATGGGGGACAACTCACACAATGGCACCAACCTTAGCCCCAACCTGACTGTCTCTACAACAAAACCTTGAGAGCGAGGTGACGTCTCACATATACACGAGTTGGTCCTTATGGTGAGGATCAGCTCATTTCTCAAGGAGTCACTGCCAACAGCAGGCAAACCCCATCCAAGTTTATTGCGTGCACACGGGACCGCTCCAAAGAGCTTCACCGGGGTGCGCTAGTGGAGCAGCACACCAGCCTGGAGCGGCAGCGCTGCCCAAGAGGCTCCCGGCAAACAGGCATTTTTCCATGGTGCTGCATTCTAAGAATAGGAGAGCGCTGCCCAAAGTCGGGTGATAAGATACAACGCTGTCCTTTCAGGGCCTGATTCGGGGTCTCTGTTTTCAGGTGACAGAATTTTGACCCTCCTAATATTACCATTTCGGGGCTGGAAACATGATGGGGTGCTGGACCTCAGAGTACTGCATGCTCGGGCAAGCCATCCTGACAAAGAAAATTAAGTTTGTGATGTACTGGGTTGCATTAGAAGGGCTCACATAGTGACACAGCAAGTTACAGCTGGTATCCGGCCCCCGGGGTGTCCAAGACACCGTCCAACAGCCTGATTTTTACAGCGGCTCAGCCCTCACCAACTCCCAGTGAAGCTTGTGGGGGCTGTGGGTGCTCAGGAAACATCACTGCTCTCTTAAGACCCCCAAGTCAGTGGATACCTCTCATAGGCATTAGGGCTGGAAGGGACCTCGCAAGATCTTCGGGTCCAGCCCCTTGCCCCAGGGGCAGGAAGTCAGCTGGGGTCAAATGATCCCAGGAAGATTGGCATCCAAGTGTTTCTTGAAAGTGTCCAGAGTAGGTGCTTGCACCACTTAGGCGGCTATGTCACATTGTCAACAAGCAGCAGGGGGGCAAACAAGGTCCTGGGCTGCTCTGCCCATGCCCTTTCGCCTCTTTATTTCACCTTCTTACACAAACGCGATGGTCACACTGACACACGCACGCTGCTCCTGGTCATACTGTTTGGCTCAAACTAAGACCCTCTGCTCCCGTTTCCCAGGATCGCTGTCAAAGAATGGCTGGTAGGAGCAGGCCCAGCATCTTCTGCAAACAGTCATCCACCCCGGCAATTTTCAAAAACCGTCTCGACGCCCACCTTGCTGGGGTCATCTGATCTCAGCAGCCTTTCCTGCCCAAAGTGCAGGGGGAAGGCTGGACCCGATGGTCTGTAAGGTCCCTTCCGGCTCCTAACAACTACGAAACCCCCGCACCCCGCACAGCGTTTGTCTCAAGGGATGAGCAGATAAAACTCCAGCGGAAGCGCCAGCTCTGCCTCAGGATCTCCATGTTGGGAAGTGTAATGTTCCTCTTCCTCCCTCCCCACCCCCATGCAAACATCTCCAGATACAGGGAGAGACCCAAACCACCCAGCTGCTCTTGCTTGGGAACACCGCTGGCTTTCAACTTATTTTTATCCTACTAGCCCAGAGAGGGAAAAGGCACTGGGGATGCTGCTGTTGGAGCACAGAGGCGCTGCGGATGGTGCCCTAGGGCCCTCTGCCCCCGGCTGCACTCCTCGGGCGATCTCTATTACAGCACACATAGCGGTGTTTCATCAAGGCCACTATTCAACGGCTGCACGGTTTTTTTCTGGGGAAGCAGCTCACCGTTCGGGCTCCCGATAGCGCAACTGCAGTGACAAAGCTCCCTGGGTTACTATGGCAAAGCCTTCTCTGCCTCTTACTCATGCGTCTGTGACTCAGTCGAGCCGACAAACAGGCTCTGACACTGGGGAATTAGCTGGGAACCAGCCTCTGCCTCAGCGCCTTACTCGGCTTTTATTACCACTGAATAGCAAGCGGCAGCGCTCGGCACGTACCGACATGGAGGTTACTCGCAAAGTTGGGCAGCTGGTCAGGGCTCCGGGACTGTGTGGGAGAGGATAGCACATAATAAGCGTGCGATGTGTAATGGGAGCAACTGGAAATCCAGGAGGGCAGATCTAAGACACAGGGCCGCCGCGCAACAGCAGCAACAAATGCTCTGATCCAGGGCTCCGGTGCCAGGCAAGTCCTACCAAGCCACGCACGTCCCCGCTCTGACCCTGCCCTCCTGTCACTCCAGAAAACTCGGGCCACCTGTTGTCACCTTTGGCTTTGCTTGCAACCATTCTGGGATGGGGATTATGCTTTTGGCGCCTGCTCATGCAGCGCCTAGCGCAGCGGTGCTCAGACCACAGCTCGTAAGACACGAGCGGCTCTTTCAATCTATTATCTGCAGCTCTTTGCAGAAAAAAGTGCCCCGAGCCTTTTATTGTAAAAGGCATATAGACACTCAGCAAACACTGCACACCTTTCCACCAAGTTATTTCTCTTTATGACTGAGCAAATATTAGCTAACGTATCATAGTTTTTCCTTTTCAACCGGATCTTGTTTGCCACGATTCCTCTAGAAGTGTATACATTATGATCTCTCTGTGAACAACATGTGACTCTTAGGACAGTAAGGACCAGATGCCTCCGGCCTACAGCACAATACAGCCCTCACCCTGACCGAGGATCCTACCCGCTACTACAGTGCACACACATGAAAACAGTAACTGCGTGCTATCGGTTTGCCCGGCAGAGCCAAGCGGGCAGGAGAGAAGCTTACACCAAGTTTCCTTTTAAAAGGGAAAAATCGAGTTCCCTGTGGAATACAAGTGGCGGTATGGCAGCGCAGCCTGGCCTGGTACCAAGAACTGAGGACACCCCAGGAAGGCAAAGGTGCCAGGAATATAAATGCCAATTACATGGTTTTCTAGCCCTCATCTTGCACGCTTAGTTTGGTACTTGCCAAAAACTGCGCACCTCAATGCTAACTGCACAGTGTGTCCTGTCACCCTGGCGGGTATTACTCCTCCTTGGGAACGTGCAGACATAGCTTTGGCAGGATGTCGCTGCCTATGATGGGGCAGCTCCTTGCTGCAGGCTCGCACCTCCAGATACATGGAAAAAGGGATATAAAAGCACAGGACTAAAAGCCGACTCTCCGCCCATTGCGCTCTGTAGCGCTGAGCATGTCGTTCCACTGGTTAGAAAGGCCAGCCCAGACGTCTGGGGTTGCACAGGCAGGTTTCCAGCTAGCTCCATTAGGTTGTCTCCAAGTCTGGCAAGGCTTCGCAGTTCTCCTTCACCTCCTCTCCCCTACTTCCAAACCCCCTGGCACTACCAAAGCCTGCCCCCTTCTTCCCAGCTGAATAATCCTGGCCGCACAGCGTATTTTTGAAGAGGAAATATATCTCCCACTGGGTGACATCTTTCTGGCTACCTGCCCCAAAGGGAAAGCAGCAGTCCAGACAAATTTGGCCTCTTCATGGGATCACCACCTGATAGGGAAAAAACAGCCAAAACAGCTTTAAAAAAAGCCTGCTACCGATACAGAGCAGTCATTATATTTACCTACCCTCGGCAGCTGTCTCAGCCTTTCCTAACAGCGTGATGCAGGCGCTCCCGGTTTCATATGACGTGATGATATATATTCCAGGACTGGGGTCAGAACTGGGACTAACACCAACCTTAGCACAATGCAAAACCCCAGGACTCGTGCCAGGACCAGCACCGAGACCAACAGCCTGATCCTACTAAGCCCTACGGGAATCTCAGCAGTGACTTCAGCTGGCTTGGGAAGAAGTCCCACACATGAGCCAAGGGAAAGCTTTCCCAGAGGCCCTCGGCAGCAAGGCAGAACCATGACCCGTCGCCAGCATGGGGGTATACTGGGGAGCCGCAGCCCGGACCATAGCAATCAACACCCCAAGACGACCACGGCACTGGGAGCAGTCTCCTGCTAGGGGAGGGAGTCTAATCGCAGATGGCTGAAGAGGACCACAGAGAACATGTGGTGACAAAACGCCCTGTTCTCAAGTGCTGCGGTTAACGAAAGGAGAAGTCAGCTTGCAGGAGGTCCAGACTGACTAAAGATGAAGCCAGAAGGGTGCCGGGCAAATTGCAAGAAAACTGACCCAAAGAACACAGAAGTGGTGGCGAGAGAGAGGCTTAACCCTGGCCAGAGAGTGCCAGCTCCTCCTGACTCCTTGTACCAGTAGGTCCGACTCATGGACGGATGAATACGCAGCTCCACCCAGCAATGTCCAGGGACTGGGGATGAAAAACGTGGGGCCTGTTTATCTGCTGCAGTATCAACCCACTCCTGCAATGAGGCAGCCCCTTCTGTCACAGGCCACCGTGAGCAAGACGTCTGGGGCCCTGCAAAGTGCCATGCTGCTCCATCCTCTAAAAGGGCGAGATGGTCTACGCTCTGACAGAGGCTGTCAGCGTGCCCTGAACACCCTCTGCATAACATCTCTCACTCTACAACTCTCCTGTCAGGGACACAGGGGCAAGCCCAAATGTCAGAGCACATGAGCCATCTGCACTGCAGAGACGCAGGACAGTGTTGCAGTGGGGCAATGCCCTGGGGACAGCACCACCCAGCCCACTCTCTCTTCCTGAAGCTCCCTGTGCCTCTGCAAGTCAAGTGTGCAGCAGCAAACTGGGCACGTGTGCTTGCCCATCCAAGCGCCAGACCTGGAAATGACCCAAGACACAGGTCACAGCCCCCAGTGGCATGCACAGAGGCAGCCTCTGACTGCAGAACCAGAACACAAAGCTCCACGCAAGACTTTGCTACAGTTTTGGTCTGTGGAAGTCCCTGGGGTCGACTTTTAAGCTCTCCACTTGAGCAGGTCCCTCTCACTCAAACTGAACTGCACCTGAAGCCAGTGAGTGAAACTGTGCATTTCATACAGCTGCAATTCAAAACCACGCACCGGCGCTGGCTGTGCCGAGCAATGAGCACAGGGGTTGATCAGCACTGTGTGGCGGTTCAGCTGCAGGCTTAGCCGAGGGACCCTGGTGAGCCTAGGCACAACACCCCAGGCACATCAGTGATGCAACCTCGCCTAGGAAAAAAGGCTGGCAGACAGAATGGGAGTTGCCTTTTAGAAATGATCAAGCCCTCCTAATTGAGCTCATCCTCCTTAACCAACCTTCTAGCAAATCAGGGAACAAACAGAGTCGCTCTGTTTCCTTGCACATTATCTGCATGGGAATCAGTAGTCGGTGCAGACATTGAGGGCATGAAAGAAGTCAGGTGCTTCATAGTGAAATCACCTGATGATATCTCTGCCTGATCACCCACTGCTTATCCTTGAAGGAGGTCAAGGTTGCCTTTGGCATGCCCAGACTCTACATAGGAAACGATTAGGAGCTCTGGTCCATTTATGAATATATTTAGGAATCAGAAGGAAAAGTCTACGGCAATTTTGTCTCAGTTGTTCTGTTATTTTATTCAGCCTTCTGGCATCTGCTGTTGCTATAAAACAATAGAGCACAAAAAATAACAGCTGAGCAGTCATTGTTCTTACACAAAACCCAAATTCCACAACTGCGAGTGCTCGAAAAAAATAGAATGATGCTGATGATATAAATTGTGAACAATTAGAACGGAGGAGTCTAGCTACTACCTCGGAGAAGCGGATGCAGGGAAAATTGGGCTCTGCAGAAAAGTGCTCTTGCAGTATAATTTCTGTAACGTTAGGAAGCAGAGTAAATACAAATACGCAACTCTGATTCCATTACCGACTGAGCTGCAGGATCTTATTTCAGATTCTCCCCAGTAACGAACACGATATCTTTGTCAAATAATGTTCTGCTATTTGGGGGGCGGAGAGGGGGAGTGTCACTCCATTCTCGGTAATTTTTTTTTGTTGTTGATCTTGGTATGGCTTTTCTGCCTTGTTTCTAAAACAATCAAGTGAGACGTGGAGCGCACAAGTGTCTCGGTCCTTGGAGAATTAATAAGACGAATCACCAATGTCCTCTCTATTTCTCATTCTTATAGACAGACTAGGATATTAAATTCCTGGGTAAGTCATTCACGGTTTTCCTCTCTTTCTTTTTACTCATGTTGCAATAGCTTGCTGGGGAGATTCCTGTGTTGAACACTGCCCCTTGCATTTTCAAAGCACCCCGTGGGGCTTCAGCCATATGAATTCTATTAGCTGGGAAGCTCGGTACCCAGGCTACTTGGCCAGTGAAGTAACACTGACAAGGCTTAGTAGTCCTGTCGCAGTGCACGGCATTGCTACAGTGCGTTCCTAGTGCACCAGCTCATTCATTCCCTCGGCCTTTGGTGCGGGGGAAGCGTTAGTCTTCTCATTCTACCAGCGGGGAGGCAAAGGTTAAGTGATTTGCCCATGGTCACCGGTGGGATCAGGAGGGCAGTGTCAGGGTCAGAGCCCCAGCTTGTTATCAGACTATGCTGACCTCTGGATATGCCAACCATTTGTTCTTTCTTCCTTCCAATATCCTAAAAAGCTCACGATGAACCCCCACCTGTAATCTGTTCCTGGTCCGCTCACCATTCGCTTGTTTATACTTGGCGCTATACCGTGGGGTATAGGCTAGGCAAAGGTTCCAACGGAAACATGCCGACTTACGAGGCCCTGCTCTTGTCTCTGGTGCTGGGGTGATAAATCAGTACAAACCTTCTGGCTTCACAGGATTTTACACACCTGCAAACAGAGCACACTCTGGCCCAGTCCCTGGACACACTGCCATCGCATGCTTTGTCTTAGCAAAAATCTCACTCCTGTCTGAAGTCACATTATTCTGCCCCACTCCCTGGTAAAACAACATGAACCGAAGGACGAACACTCTTGTTACTTGTTCTAAACTATCACATGAAGCCTGGGCTCCATGGTTTTAATTGAGGCATGTCCTACAAGGAGGGAAAAAGAAAAAAAGAAAAACTTCCCTCCCGAGTTGGGAACGCCAGGATCTCTGTTTGCCGAGAAATATCTGTGGCACTCCGAGTGGGCTGAGGCGGGATGCTTACCATTTTTAGTTTGTGCTGCTGTAGGATCTCGTCCAGGTTCTGTCTTTTCTTGTAGTTGAAGTAGAAGTTTTTGCACTGCGACACGGTCTTGGAGCCCACCATCCTGGCAATGGCAGACCAATTCCGCCCATGTTCAAGGAGACCTTCAGCCAGGAAGAGAAGAAAAACAAGAAAAGAAGGGGGGAAATTAGGAGGTTTGAAACCAGATAAACTTGCACAAGGGCAGCATTGTTCATTCACCCAGGCCAGGCAACACCCCATGTGCAAACCCAATGCTGTGGCAACAATATGGCCACCAGCATCTGTCTGGAAGGCTTCTGTGGCCAAGGGGATGGTGGAGGGCAGCCTGTTTTTCTCTCCAGGGGAAAGGCATCAGACCTACAGCCTTGGGGAACAAAGCCTCCTGCAGCAGGGCTGCCCAACAACAGCCGGCTCTCCACCCCGCTGGGAGAGGGAGAGCAGGCCTTCACGGGGCACTGACACCAGAGACATAAAGCTCGAGAGAGCTGGAGCCCGCAGCTCTCAGTTGGGCTGGGAGGCAAGCTGGAAGCACGTGCAGAGATGGACCCGAGATGCGAGTGCAATGTGGAGGTGGCCGAGCGTTGGCCCAGGTGACTCACATCACTGTGGGGAGGGCACCAGCGCCGACAGTGGGCTCGTGAGCAAGAGGAAACGTTCAGGTGAGGCACCATGCCAGGGGCTGACGACTCCATGCAGGCGGAGCAGCCGGGGAAGCCTGGAGGGGTGGCGCACAGCCAGAGTGGGCAAGTGGGTGCAGAGGATGGCAGCAGCTCATCCTCAGACTGCCAGGCCTCCCACCTTGCATGTGCCTTCCCTTGAGGCTGGGGGGTGCTCCTTCCTCATGACATGGAAAGAGAACCCAAGACGCAGAGCAAGGACCAAGTGGCTTCCCAAAGACCGATTCGATGGTGGAGTCACCCCGAGTCCCGCATCCTTGCCTCACCCATTGCTCTGCCACTCCTCAGAGCGAGGCTCATCGGGGTCCCTAGCCCATCCAGGTGGGGCACGGGACAGAGACAGGCACAGCCCCTCCAGTGCAGAGGGACGTTCAGGCACAGAAGTGCGGGATGGAGACAGATGCTCATGTTGTGAGCATGTGGCTGATGACACCATGGAGGGACGAGAGGGGGGCAAGGTGATGGACTCCCAAAGGTGAGGGTGCAAGTTGGGTATAGGGTGGGGAGAGGGGACTGCAGGCCAAATGCAGCAAGGGCAGAAGAAATGCCACCTCCTCCATGAACCCAGACAGTGGCTGAGCTCACCCTGGGAGCAGGAGCTTGGAGGAGAGGTGCCACGGGGCAGTCAGCTCTCCAGTGACCTGTGGCCTTTACGTTCCTGAGCAGGGCAGCAAGGACCCAAGTCCCTGCTCCATCCCCCCTGGGGCTCCGATACAGCCGAACAAATCAACACCTCCACACACAAACGCCCGTGTCCTTCCCATGTGCCAGACTGCCCTGCCTGGAGACATCCTTTGCCCCGCGCAGTCTCTCCTAGCAGCCGCCTTGGTATCTACCCCTTTAAGGCATGATCCTGTGCCACGCATGCCTGGTGCCTCGGCTCCATTGCCAGGCGGGGCTGGGGTTGCTATGCAGCTGCCATCAGGTTGCACATCGAGCCAGGTAACTCCGCTCCAGCTGGCTCCGTGCTGCACAGTCAGGTTGGGCCGGGATCAGCCCTTGCAACGCTGACTCCGCTCCAACTTTCCCTTACTTCTTGCCTGCCATTGTCTGTGTTCTTTTGAACACGCCTGGCGTACGTGGCAGGCGGGCCTGCAGCCTCCAAAGCCTCGCGGGGGAAAGAGGCATCGTCAGCACCAGCAGGCCACGGCCCGATCATCGGACAGAGCATCTGGCCTGGCTTGCCTGGTCCAGCACCCCTCGCAGGCCCCTGCACTCTGGAAGCAAAGAGCATCCCCATTGCCACCTCCCTTGCCAGCCCCTGCAAGCACGGCGCTACTTGTGGGTAGGGCCTGCTTGCTGGCTTGTGAAGCCAAATGTCACCATTTAAGGCAAAAAGATCCCCAACGAGGTAATACCTGGCCTCCATGCAAACACATTGGAGCAACTACACTCCCAGGCCCGGAGCCAGGGCCGGGGGAGCAGGAACCCGTGCCCCGGGTCGGGGTGGGGGATCTGCGTAGCTGAAGGACCGCTGGTGCCAGCCTTCCGGCCCCTGAAACGGCTGGGGTGCAGGGAGCCCAGCTTGCTGCCCCCAGCCCCGTGGCAGATTGCAGTTCCTCATGTCCGAGACGCCCCTTGGCCGAAGGCCCAAGAATAAAAGAAACTCGGGGCGGAGCCCGGCGCAGGCAGGAAACGAAAGAGGTAAAGTTCGCACCGTTGCAGGAGCGAAGAAGTGGGCTGCCGTCGAGCGCCCCGTTCCATTCAAACACAGGATCTCAGCGGTTGCCGTCTTACAAGCCTCTCGCTGCCCGCCCTGGGGAGAGCAAAGCCAGAGATCCTTCCCCTCCCCTTCCCTCCCTGATGCCTCGTGACCCACCAAGCGCCTCCGACACAAACGAATCAATCAACCTGCTCCTTCGCTGCTCTGCCGGTGACCGGATCCCACGTGCGCCAGATGGGGCTGTAATTACCCATCGCTCGGGCAAGGGCCTCTCATATGCCTAATAAGTCCTGCAGCCGCTGCGGTCGGGGCTCCCTGGACGGCAGGCGTTTCGCTGGAGCTGTGCGGGGCAGGGGAGGGGGGGGGACGACAAGCTGGCATTTGCAACAGCCACAGCTGAGCGGGGGGCAGGAGGACAGGGTCTTCCACCAAGACCTTTTTCTGCTTGCTCCAACGTTTCCAAGTGCAGCGTGACCTTTTCCGTCTGCGTTTAACAGGTCAGGCCAGCTCCCTGCTGCCCTTTCTCCTACTGGGTTGACCGTGCACCAGCTCTTTTATGCGTCTTTCCCAATCATGGGGCTGGGCTGAAGCTCATTTGGGCTCAGCTCCTTGGGAGCCTTCGCCTCGAGGACTACAGGGAAAAGCGTGCCGAGCCCCCGGCCCTCCCACCGTCACAGCCTGGACGCTGCCTGCACATCGGGGCTGATGCCTGGTCCTGCGTTAGGAGGCGAGGCCGTGTGTTTCCAAAGCACGGACTGACCATCCCCGGCAGGACCGAACCAGCGAGCGCAGACGCCCTTATCTTCACGGGAGAGAAAAAGCAAAACAGCAACACCTGCTTCCCAAAACTGTAATTATCTGCTAGAGGCTGGGAGGAGACGCCCTGGCTCTCGCCGATGCAAAAAACTCCCTTTACCAGGTCCTGGCAAGGCTCTGCTTCGCGACAGCATTGCCCCTGATCTCCCCCCTTCTGCTCCGCACGCATGCATTTCAACGTGACCCCCCCCCGGCAGCCCGTGATCTCTGTCGCAGAGACGACAGAGCGAACAGACGGGCTCAGGTCTGACCCTGGCAGAACGCACGCATCCATTTAATATCACAAGTGAAACTACGACTGAGTCAACAACCAGATCTGCCGCGTTCCCTGGCTTCGGGGAAACGGCTCGCAGATGTGTGCACTTCAGCGGGCGCGCGCGCGCGCGCACACACACACACACACACACACACACACGAGCGTGCACGCGCTCCCCCCCCAACCTTAGCCCCAGAAGCTGGCTATTTCCTCTCTGCCCTCGGGCTGTACTTACATTCTCCCAGTCCAGCTTCACCTGTCAGCAAGTCGGCTCGAAGCATACGGCAGGCAGGTCGGACTGGAGCGGGGAGAGCCCTCCTTCAACAAGCCACACGAGGCAGATCAATTGGTTATGAAGCGCCGGGAGTTCTCCGCGCGCGCCTTCTCCCGTGCATTTTGCTTTCGCTCTCTCGCGGCAGCCAAAGAAAGAGAGCGAGCGAGAGGAAAAAAACCCAGCCCACGAAAACCCCCAAACGGGAGAGCCGGTCCTTTAAAAGCCTTGCAGCTCTGGCTGTTCGGAGCCATCGGCAGCCGGGGCAGCCCCTGCCGTGGGGCGCGGAGCGGGGTCGCACACGCGGAAGCCTTCTGCCCCCGATGCGAGAAGTTGGTGGGAAGGCATGCTCCGGGCTCGGCGCTCTTTCCTCCAGTCGAGCTGGCGAGCCAGCCCCGCGTCCCCTCCTCGGAGGTTTCCAGCTGTCTGGAGCAGGGTTTGTTAAGGTGGATCGAAGTCTCCCCGGTCCTTCTCCCCCTAGCCGCCCTCCCTGCTCAGCGGCGCGGGGCGCGGCGGGAGGAGAGGCTGGGCCGTTCCAGGAGGCGCTCCCCCCCCAAAAATAAAATCACCCGCGGCGGGCGACAGAGCCGTGCAGCTTCGCTTCTGCCCGCGCAGGGCTGGTGCCGTCGCTCTGTGGCGGAGCAGTGAACGAGCGCTAATCTTTTCCTCTGGCTGACCCAGAGGCTCATTTCGTCTGAATGTGACCTCTAGACAGAGCATTAATAACGAGCATGGCACTGACCCAAGCTGACAAGGGGTGCGGCCAACTTGGCACTCACTTCCTTTCTCTCTCACTTTCTGTCTCCCTCGCTCTCATCTGAATGTCAACAGCAGGGGGAGCGATCCAGGAAAACAAAGCTCGGCTTAACAGTTTCCTCCGCTCTGAACTGAATCAAAGGAGCTTTTCTTTCGGGAGGCGCAAGCCGGCGATTGCCAGACACCGCGAGCCGGCCGACCCGGGCCCGGCCCCGCGATCCTTCCCGCTTGGTGAGGGCTGTGACCCGAAGGTCGCTCGCGCCTCGGCCGGGGCGAGGGTCTCGGGGAGAGCCGGCGGTGGACAGCGCCGGGGTCACGCCGGACCAACACGTGGTCGGCCGGCATTGGGAGGACGCGAGACGGGAGCCAGCGGGAGCGCTTGGCACGTGCGGCGAGCTTCTGCAGCGGGGAGCAGTCGGGGACCGGGGGCCTGGAGGTGGGGGCACGTAGGATCTGCCTCCCGGTAGGTGTCAAATGAGGCCGGCGTGGCGGCGAGGTGGAGGCAGGAAGGAAGAGAAGCGCGGAGCCGAGAGGCGCTTTCGAGTGCAGTTGGCTCGCACGGCCCTCATGAGAGCAAAGGGGCAGCGCGGGGAGGAAGGGAGGCTTTAATCCCCACTCCCTCGACTCACAGGCTTTTCAGATGGTTTCTCCTTCTGCTCCCGGAGTGGCTGCCCCCGCTCCAC